GCTTTCTGCGACCAATAATTTATTAAAACATGAGTTTTAGACCTTGTTGTGTGCCTATCAGTGCGATGATATTTGTTCTAAACGGTAAGCTTTCGCATTACAAGAATTATTTACATTTTGATTGCTGAAGGACGCCAACATGGTGCATGGTCTCATACATTTTTCGTATTTAAATTATGACACAATATTTTCAGGTGTTCATTGCCTAGAAGACTCGTATGTCTTGTTTTAAAGATTACTACATACATTATTCACTCTACATACTACATATATTTCGAAGGTTTCCAAGGTGCTGCTTCCATAGAGAATAGCTTCCTGGCAAAAGACGCTTGGTGCAACCCATAGTCAAACTGTGCGATATTCCTGGACCATCGCTTGAATATGTTCATGGCACATCAAATATCGCCACAGTTCCGAGTAAGTACTAATTGTAAGGAAGTGAGATGTAAATTTAGCAACCTATCAAGTACATATTATCCTACTAATAATATATAATTCTTCAATATAGTAACATATTTTTTCTTTTTAGGGGTAAGGAGACTTAATTTGAAAGCAGTAGGAGTTACACAGCAGAAGCATTTGTCGGCTCGCAACAAAATTTTGTATTAGGGCGTAAAGAATTTGGTACATCGCCAACAAGAAAACCTATATATGTAATTATGTTATCCATACACATACCTAAATATGTATCTGAATTAATAATTGAACTAAATTAATGAATTTGTTTTGCTACTTTGAATTAGGTAAATGTTTAATTTCTGAATTTTTCATTCATAACATGATTTTGCTTCTTGAGCAAATGTTTCTGGTTTCTATAACAAACACCTTTCACAATATAATGGTAATTGGCGTTTCGCCTATTTATTTACTGCAATAAAAATGTGTAAATGTTTATAGAGTTTTTATTAACATATTCAAGCACCTGTGGCTACGCCGAAATACTTCAATTGAAATTAGGAGTATGTTTATGTTCAATTTGATATATTACAAATATATCGAACTGAATATTAAGCATCTTTTAATCTCAATTGTAGTATTGGCTCGCCGACAATAGCAAATCCTGAATACATAGTAGTAAGGACGCAAACCCAGCAATGACCACTGAACATCCCGGAGGGGTGGGGGGTATTTTGGGCCAATGACGTTAGAGAGGGAAGCAGCTAATAGATGGCGACAGTGTCAGTAAAAACCTGGTTATCATTTTGTGCAAGGGAGTGGGCTATCTATAGTTGTCTTCATCTATGGATCTCATGGGAGAACTGAAACACGTCACAGTAAAATTGTTCAGTACCCCGTTGTAAAGCTTTTTCACATTTCCTAATAAAAAAATCGGTAATGTTACAAACTTGGGGTGGTTGTGTCGTTTCTGACCCTTCGAATTATTAGTTTTTTTTCTGGTTTTATCGTAAAGAACAGTTTAAATCCGCGCAAGACATTGACAGATCTCCAACCAATATAAACACTTTCGTACCATTGTATAAACGAATGCATGAGACACGGGCTTAAGCCGTCAACTTGAGTAGGCATCATAGGCCAAGCAATATAGATAAAAATAATAAAATGAAAGAGAATGAGGGATCGATCTACCTGATACGATAATTAGAACCGGAGAAAACTCGATAAAAACCGGAAAAATTTACGATTTCTTTAAAAAACTGAAAACTTTTTTTTTAAATTACTAGCTCAAATTTTGTACAAGGGTAGCTATTTATATATGTATACTTCATGCGTCCAAAAGCTGTACTCGGTTTGATTAATAGTTTTCGGACAATTTCGATTTCAAATTTTTTAGCAATTTTCCGCCGAGGGATGCTTGCGCCTGAGATTGTCCGATTGGAATTTAAAATATAAGAAAACGTAGTTTTTCGCGTTTTCTCCGGTTCTAATTATCCAATCAAATAGATCGACATCCCATTCTCTTCGTAATTCCATGCTCCACGATTCAACTATGGACACTATTAACATTGCTTCAATGGTGTCGATTTTACGAGCAAGACACTAAAAAATGAGATTTTTTGTTTGTAAAATAAGTTTTTAAAAAATTAATAAATTACATTTAGTGGTCCAAAACATACCGCAAATAAGGTACGGAGTGCCCTTCATGTGATGGTATGTGTGGTTTTCCAATAGGATTTATGTCATGGACAATCCCTCTATTGCTTGGCCTATCATTGAAGCCGAGCTTTTCGTTCCTTAAGCCAGGCTTAAACCGTGCAAACGATTTCTACAATTAAACTCGGCTTTCCGAAAAGACAGGCTTATTTATTAGAGGTGCAACGGGCCTTAGGGGCCTCAAAGTGCTGGTTTTTGCGACTGCCCTCAACGTATTGTTATTTATCTCAAATGTAACCTTTCTTTGGTCGGCAACTCTTTTCCAAATAATACTTAATGATTTCAAGGCTGGCACACAAACTTATTTATTAGCTACCTGGTTTAAGCTTTAAAGTTGATACAGCATTTCATTTTAGACCTCTGCTTCTAACACCAGACACTAAATACTTAGGTTCAAAATGTTCAGCACATATAAACTTGTTTTTCACTGCGATATCTCGAGGACCCGATAATAGAGACAAATTAACAGCTTTTAACCAAGTTTGTAGCCGAGCCGGTTCTCTGTGTGGATGAGGAAAACTGAAGAAGCTGTTAAATTTGGTTTTACAACCAGGCACTATAAACAATTTCTCTTCGGGGGTTTAAGTTTTCCCCTGAAATCAGCCATGCCATTAGATAAAAGAATACCAGATAAAAGATAAGACGAGAAACTACCCCGACGCCCTGTTTAGACACGCGCAAGTCGGTTTTGAGGTTACGTTAAGCAAAACAAACTTCTGTCTTCAGTTATGAAAACAAACGTTTTATTCGCGAATTCAAAAGGCCAAATTATAAGCTGCACTTCACGAGTAATATTTGACATTAATTTACTTTACATTTGAGCAAGGTTCCTAAATTATACAAGTTGCCCGGTAACTTTGGACCAGTGGGGGAGTGCGCGGGATTACGTCACAAGTTTGCCAGTTTAAATTATTGAACCCTTTAATATTGAATCAGTTGACATTTCTAGAGTTTGGTGCTTGTAGTTTTGGGTTTGTTCTCATGTTATAAAGGCCCACCGCGTTTTCATTGCGTAAGATTGCAATTAGTTGGCATTTTCTTTATAATAAGTTGGTTAGTTCGGTATCCAAAAGACTCTAGGGCGTCTGAAAATGGGAAACATGTGCGAAATCCAGAAAGTTTCACAAACCAGCCAACGAGCTGTAACAAAATACAAATTCAAAAAGCCAACTGGCTTTATGAGAAAGATATTTACCAAAACTTAATTCTAATTTGACCGGAACCAGCAAGGAAAAGTTTAAAGTTTGAAGTTAAAATTTTAATTCACATCTTAAAGTAAAAAATTGAAGTTAAACAAAAGGCTATCAATTAACAGTTTAAGGAAGTTGTGGGTTAGAAATTACCGAATTTCTGGCCCGCTTAATGGAGCATTCTTAGATCCTTAAGCGGCAAAGAATGGATGAAAAACGGGGATAAAATAGTCCACAATTCACCAAACAATAATTTTTTTCCCAAATAAGCGCGAAATACCAATTCGGTTAGTCAAATGGGACACTCTTAAATTCGAGAACCACCGAGCACTTGCAAAATAGTTCTTCTACAGTCAACAGTTCTGGCAAGACAAGGAACATATCTGCACACGAAACAACAAAAAATTTAATTCACGTTTGTATATAATCAAAAGTTAGAATCAGCCGGATTTTGTTCACATAAAGTATTACTTATTTACACCAACAAAATGGGGGTTCCCTGTAATATGGGGTTTCTCTGCCCTATACGCGCGCTTCCGCTGTGCACGCTTTTTTTTAGCAGAATGGAGTTCCCTCTAACTAGGGTTTCCCTGCACTACAATGTCTACCATGATATCAATAGGCGCCCACTTGTGCGGCTTCGTTCGACGGCGGACCGGCATGGGACACAGGCTTTATCCAATCGAGGCCCCCGTAAGACAGGCCGCAATTGAATTGTGACGGAGGAGGCGGTCGACTCACATTTACCTAACGCTTATTCTATTTAATGTTTTGTTAGTTACCTGACTTAAGGTTTAAAGTTGGTACAGCATTCCATGTTAGACCTCTGCTTCTAACACCAGACACTAAATACTCAGCTTCAAAATGTTCCGCACATATCGACTTGTTTTTCAATACTCTATCTGGAGGACCCGATAATAGACTCCGATTGTTAACAGCTTTTAACCAAGTTTGTAACAAGACCGGTTTCTTACTAGGATTAGGAAATGTGAAAAACCTGCTATATTTGGTTTTACAACCGGGCACTGAACACTTTTTCCTCGCGCGCTTAAGTTCTCCCATGAAATCAGCCATGACAATAGATAAAAGAATACCAGATACAAGAAACTACTCGCGACTCCTTGTTTTACACGCGTTAGTTGGTTTCGAGGTTAAGTTAATCAAAGCAAACTTCTGCTTCAAGCGAATTGAAAAGTCCTTAAAAAAATATAACCTTAACGAGTCATTTGACAATCATTTTGTTTACATGTTGTCATGGTCATTGTTTATATGCCACTTGATAACGAGTATTTGTTTACACCCCCATCGGTACATGAATTCGCGAATTCCACTACTAATGGGGGCGCTGCGAAACGTAAACAGATAATTTTAATCGAGTGACATTTGGTAAGAAAGCGATAAGAACACACCCGAACGCTTTGAATATAAATCTACCTTTATACCTTTTAAACTAGTTTTATATGGAAAACCTGAACGTGAAAAAAAAGTAACATACCTGTGTTTGGATTTGTCCGTGGATCATTTGCTGGTGAGATAAAAATGTTAGAAGTAGCTATAAAGCTTTTGGGAATAGCTTTTGTTAATAGCTTCTTCTTTTCGGGAGTTTGAAATTGAGATTCTATAAAATGCTCATTGCATACCGAATAACGCCTTCTAACACTAGCATGAGGTAATTTAAACAATGCTGGATTATTGACAACGTCCATCCACCGTTGAAACAGGATCGCACCGTGCGGAAACATGTGGAATCTCACATTTGGGTTCCCGTTATGATTTTTACACGATAAAAATGCACACTTTTTATAGTAAAGTCTAGGCATGATCTGAAACAATAGATAAATAAGTCAATGGTCTTTCCTTTGAGTTATCTATATTTTATGCAAAACGACACATCTTTAGTACCTAGAATTTTATTTTCTTACCGTTGTTCAATATTGCAGGTTAGTTTCCTTCCAAACTATAAAATATGAAACATATACAAGATCCACTGTATACAAGTACCATAGATAAAGACAAACCTGGAACGGACCATAGAGTAAGTAAAATAACTAATATTTTACTTTCTCTATAGAACGGACGCTATACACGATAAGTGAGACAAAATCAAAATGTAGGCAACCCTCTGTCCTGATGAGTGTATGTCTCTTTCTATCTCATTGACTTATACGGAGAGTTGCTGCAATATTTAGCAATTTTGGTTTTCTTTTAAACAATTACAGTATGATAATTAAGTTATTGCTGAAAATGTAACAAAATTGAACTCGCTGAAAGATTTCAGGTATAAAAAATCATAATTACAATTCTGAAGTGGAAAAATGTAGAAGCAAAAAAGTAAAAGCAAAATTAATACGCGAAAAATAGGCATAAAATACTTTAGTTATGTAGTGAAAAAATATACAGATTAACAAAAAAAATCATAAATAAAAAATGACGGTTTTTAATTAATTCGAATGAAAAAGACGTTAAGTTTGCATATATTTATATTCATTTCATTTTAATTTAAGTATTTAATTAACTAATTTTGTTCAGAACGCCATTGTAAAAATAAGCTTGGAAATGCCTACATGGGTATTCCACATGTATTTGTACCTATACCGTCTTTGCTAACAAATAAAAAAAACTTGTGTCGTCAATTCGAATGCTGTTGCGGAAAATATTTTCGGCATCGGCAAATATTTTTTACTTACAGCTTGAGCTTGAGTAGCAAACTACTCCACCTATTCTGACACGCCTCTAATCTCTAATCTCTGTCTACCGAACTAATTTTGTACGGTTCGTTCCATTGACTTGTCATGAGGGTGGAACGAGCCGTCACATGATCACAAAATTGTTTCATTTATCTATTGTTTCAAATCATGCCTAGACTTTATTATCAGAATTGTGCATTTTAATCATGCAAAAATCATAACGGGAATCCGAATGTGAGTTCCACATGTTTGTTCAAGGTACGATTATGTTTCAACACTAGATGGACGTTGTGAATAATCCAGCATTGTTTAAATTACCTCATGTGTTAGAAGGCGTTATTCGGTATGCAATGAGCAGTTTATAGAATCTCAATTTCGAAACTCCCGAAAAGAAGAAGCTGTTAACAAACAAAAAATGTTTATAACAATAAAAAACTTAACACACCTGCGCCAAAATTGTTTATTTTTTCATTTTTACATGCTTTTCAAATTTTAATTTTTACATGTTTAAATTTTTTATCAGTCATACGTGTGTTTGTCCTGTTTCTGTTTAATGTTAAAATCATTTATAGGCTGTCCTTATTTTCATTTGTATTTCTGTTCTAATAAATGCGTATATGATTTTTAGCGTGTTTTCATATTCGTGTTATTATACATGTTTATAATATCTAATTTGTGTTTCGTATTTCTATTATTATAAATATTGTAACGGAAATGGCCTGGGGTACTCACGTTTGAAATGGGGGATCGAAATTCATGGTATTTCAGTAAATGGGAGCCCCATTTGGACCCCATTTACTGTCAAATATGACACTGACAAGCGGGAAGTTTCGCACCTGTTCTGGAGATTTCGAGAACCATCTGGGTTACCTGGAGGAAATTATATAAGCGACGACGAGAACCACACAGAGAGGGAAGTGACAGGAGCGATCGTGTGCAGAAGAGGTTGAACCCCGTGAGTCGGAAGAGCGAGTTTTTCGTCGGTTCTTGTTATTGTTTGTGAAGTTGACGGTAATTTTGAAGTTAGTTTGTTCCTGTCCCGCATTTAAAGTTATACCGAGGTGAATGAAAGTTGGAAGCTGAAGAAAGAGTTCGATACCCGGCCATCCACGGTACAATATATTTATCATTTATGAGTGTGTTTTTTTGTATCTGCTATAATAAAAATGTTTATCATTGATGCTTTTCTTCTAATAACATCGGTGCATACCGGGTGTAACATTTAAATTGAGAGATTGCAATGTATTGAATAATAAGCAGTCTTCGAAAACATGTTTAGTATCGTATTATTACGCGGGGGAAATACATTGATGACAAAATTAGGTTCCTTATTATTCGAGATATTGAGATGTCTCAAGTTAAATGTTACACCCGGTATACAAACATCCCATTTTCCTTCTAGATCAGTATCAAGTTTGTGTTTGTCAGCGTTATATGATATTAAATTTGATTTGTAAATTGTTGATCAACAATGATAGGGCGTACAGAAGACCTAAAAATTAGGCCACTACTTCAAATAAAAAAAATCCTATCTGGCTTCCTTATGGAATTATGGGTCTTCAAAGGGACAATTTTCCAAATTACAGCTCGTGAAACTTAATTATTAAATAGATATGAGTAAGTAGAAATCTGAGGGCGCGATGTCTGTTGAGTATGATGGGTGGGGTTAAAAAAAAGGGTAAAACATCCTAACCGAGCTCCAAAAACTTTTGTCGAACTGTCAAAGACACATGAGGCAGCGCATTGTAGTGAGGAAATATGAGGCACTTCCGATTCGCTAATTCTGGACGGTTTTGCTTGGTTTTGTTGTTGTCGATCCAATTGCGAAACTCGCAATTGGATCGACAACCCGACCATGCCAAAAAAGTATTCGTACATTTATAGTTGGGGGGCTAAATGTATTTCACATAGTTTCGGCACGACTCGTTATGACCCGATCCAAAATGTGAGTTGAAAAACATTTAATGCGCCGCCACGGTAATTAGTGATTAATTGAGTAATTGGAATTGGAAATAAAATCCTTACGAGTTGTGCATCTTAACCACGACAGGTCACTACGTTAAAAATTGTGAGCATCTAGTGCTGATGTTTGTTTCAAATGTAAAGTTATTAAGGAACGTTTCAAGCAACCTTTTCAACAAACCCCATTTCCAACAGCAACAGTCAATTTATTAAGTCAGGCTTTTCTCAGAATCTGACCTTTCACTGAATAATGCTAGTTTGTATTTACTTACTAATAGTTAATGGAGCATTTTCAACCAAACTATCAGGTTTAGCTGGTGCTACATTTGCAATAGAGCTTTCCCTAGAGGTACACTCATTTCCAATAAATCTATTTGGAACTGCGTGACGAACAAGTCTCCAATCTCTCGAATTTGTATAATAATTTTGAGAAAAGTGATTGTTGCATAACCGGTAATTATGTAGTGTAATACCCGAAAATTTCATTCCCAATGCATCCTGCCAAATCTTTGATCTACAAAAATTAACAAGGGAATTAGAGCCTATAAAATTACCATACATTTCAGTGCGTAACAGTGAGAAGGAACGTACTTTTTCAGATTAACCGGAAAACGGTGCAATCTTTTAACATCATCGTTATCTAATCCACAAATAAGGCACTTCATTTTTGCGAACTTTTTTGTCTGGGTATTAAACAGAGAACACCGGTAAATCTATAGCACACTCTCACTACCAACTCAGATCACATTACAAACCACAAACTAGGAACTTAAACCCCTAATGAGAGTAAGAATATAGTCAAATTTATATTCAGAAATCGAAAACCGATTAAGTGAGGTTAACGATTGTAGTAAACAATAGATTTTTCTTCTTCCTCTTTCTTGCTATTGGCTCTACCAGCTAGAGTATGTTGCCAGCTGGTTACGAAAGAGGTCCAGTAATCCGTAAAACCGGATTTTCGCCCTCGTATCGAACATTTTCTGTTCGAATAAAAAACATAACACGAATCATAAGTTATAAATAAGAATTGTCAAAAATAAATAGTATCAACTTCATATTTTAAATCTTATGTCAATGTCATTGAAGCTGTCACGTTTTAACGTTTGTAATTTTTTCAAAAGCGTACTTTTGCAAGCATGTACAAGGTGAAACAAGGAGTGTTAAAAATTGAAGCGCTGCTTTCACGGTATAGTGTTTGTATAAGTAGCATATTTGCATGAAATTTGCGCTTTTTAAAAAATAGTGTTTTGCTTGTGGCAATATCAACGAGGGCAGAAAAATAGACCATTAGACGACTTTGAGTCTAAAGCCCGTGTCCCATGCATCCGTTTGTACGATGATACGAACGGGTTTCTATTGGTTGAAGCTCTGTCAGTTCGTACGACGACGGTCGAATTGACAGTTCTCCAACCAATAGAAACACTTTCATATCATGCTACTATCATATAAACGGATGCATGGGACACATGTTGCCTTGGGAACTCTCACTTAAAAACTTAACCGAGAACGACTGATTTCATAGTCGCCAGAGGCGCTACAGACGATAAAGAGCTACAGATCAAACTATGAAATAACCCACTGCAGGGAAATATTCTGTGGATGAATGCGATAACGCAAGTCAAATGTCAAATAAATCTTCCCCATTGTTGTTTGTGGGTTTGTCATGGACAAGATGTCTGTCGATGTTGAGTATTCGCTATCATCCAAAAAAAAGCCTATGTCGATTTTATTCATTTCTGACGATATAATCTGAGATAAGTTGTATGATTTCGTGCCTCATGCTTCCTGCACATACTAGATTGTGATATGTTTCCCCATGTTCTCCAATACGTAATTTGTGAATATTTTGTTGGGTAAATCGAAATATGCTTATTATTCAGGTGTCATTTTCATCAAGAAACAAATAAATGGAAAACAGGATATTTTTCTCATTAGAGCTAGTTCATAGCATCGGGTTGCTCACCGCTGAAACCGGTACTTAATACCTCTGTATTATGTAGAATTACAGATTAATATTTAAACAGAAACCTCTGTTCAAAATGAATAATGATATTTTCATATTTTCAGATTATCTTTTTCCTTATCTGTTTTCATAAATCGTCGATAATCTGCGAAGATGGTAGCTGTTTATTGGTGTCTTGAAGGCTGTTATAAAATGCACTGCTTCCTATCACAAAAGGCGTATGTTTTAAAGTTATTCCTAAAAATGCGCCAAAGATTTTTTTATCTGTAAAAAGTATTTATATAAACAATAAACAACAAGTAATATATATATTTATATGTATTTTTATGTAGTTGTGTCATTTATCCCTATTATCAGCTGCCCCTTGCGACACAATTAAAAATAAGCAAGTATAGTGGGGTCATAATACAGGTTTGTTTGAATTTTTTAATTCTCAGCCACCAGGGCGCGCCACACTTTCTACAAGAGTAAGAGTCATTTCTATATAAGCCTTGTTCTATGAACATAACCGCAATCAATAATGAGGATTCAAATACGTTCGAAAATTATGCAAAAACTTTATTGCAGTGGATCATAGGCCAAATTTTCTGTCGAATCATTGATAGTTAGTTCTTAAAACAAGATTTAACGGTATACAACACAATCGCAGTTTCAACGATAAATGCCGGTTCGTTTGGACACGAGTTTTTAAAGTTTGAATAGGTTTTTTTCGCTGAATGTGGTTTATTTTAAGTGTACTTTAAGGGAAAATTAAAAAGAACGCCGAAATTCGCCAGACATAAAGTACATGATCAGCAGAACCATTTTATTTATTAGTTAGTAAGATTAACTTCGAAAGCGGCATGAAATATGTTATATTTCTGTAATATATCATAAAATGCTTACCTGAACGGCGCTCAGGCAGATTAAGTGTAGGGATTGCATTAACTTTAAGTCCTCTTAGAGTTCCCGGAACAAAACACTCAGGAGCAAAATGACTATCACACACATAAAATTTACTGTATATCTTTTCAATAGATAATCGTTGAAAATTTGGAGGCTTAATACTTTTAAGCCATTCTTTAAAAATGTCTGGTTTGTTTCTTGGAAATCGATGGCGTCTACTATGTTTATCTTCACAGTTTGAAACACAACACTTGTTCAATCTGCGTTCGGGCACAACACGTTCCATTATCGCGAATTATAATAAATAATTTGAAAAGAAAATAGGTAGTTGAATATTGACAATGCAATAGAAATACAAGCACAATGTTTATTCTTCTGACGTCTAGTCTTTGCTTATAACCTTTATAACCTATAAACCTCCAAAAAAGCCCGTCTTGCTCAAAATCGAAGTATAAATAAAAATGATAATAGTTAATTGTAGTCAGCACTTTTACATTACACATCACTTTGTACAAATTCATTATATCACAGATTATGAAGCTAGAAGAATATAATATCTTACCTGCGAGATGTAACGATGGTACAGCATTGTACTTCAAATTTGTGCGATTATTTACCATGACAAACTTGGACTCTTCGGTAAAATGTATGCCGCATACTCTAAACTTATGTCGCTGATGACTTTCGCTCACATCAATTAAATCATTTCTATTCAGGACCTGGCACCACTTTTGTCTTACCTGCAAAACACAAGTTTTATAGTAAAAGGTGCATGTTTGAAATAAATAGTCAAAAGCACCCACATGCTTTAATGTTTAGGCAAAAAGCATTAGTTATACCAGAGAATACATTTGTACACAACATACCTCAGGATCCCTAGGCAAACAATGCAATTTCACTTCTGTAGAAGTGTTGCCACAACCAGCAATGGAACATCTAAACGGCATTTTGCAAAAGAATTTGAATAGAACGTGCCCGTATCACAAACACTATTCACTATTGGCTCGCATGCACCGTCGACAGTTTTCACCTTAACCCTAGAACTCCAACGTACGTAAAATTTACGTGTATTTTTTAATACAACCCTGACTACTTCGTTAATGTTTACATTCACGTGGTACGCCCCCGGCAGTGCTCTCCAGTAGAAGGCTTCAAACTCGTCTTTATATATGGCTTCAAGTGCCTGAAGAAGAAAATGACGTGCCCGCTAGTAAGTGATAATAGTGTTAGAGAGTGCTATGTTACCAGCAAGTTTATAAAAGTATACACGTAAATTTTAAGGTCTTAAGGTCCTTTCGAACAGAAAAAAGACGGTTTCTCTGCACTCCTTTGTTTTTTTTAAATTACTTTTGCACATAAACACACTGCAAACAACTCCACCCGGCATCTAAAACAAAAACATTTTAAATTACTTGTCAATTTCTGACTTTAGTTACCAATATTTTAATTATGCTCTTGCGTAAGGGAGTTCCGAAAAAACCACGAAAATCGCTGGAGGATGACGACATAGGAGATAATGCCGTATGATGGTCAGCGCGTTGGCACAGTTGGTTGTTTCGTTACCGAAAGGACTTTTGAAACCGGAAAACATGTGCGAAATCCAAAAGGTTTCACGAAAACAGCCAACGAGCTGTAAAAAAATACAAATTCAAAAAGCCAACGGACTTTATGAGACAAAAATTTAACAAAACTTAATGCTAAATACAAGTCCTTAAATTGTTTGTCACAAAAGTCGTTAATTGAACGGCCTCACACCTTCCGTTCGCGTCTGTCCCCGGTCAGGATCACCAGACAACCTGTACAATTTAGGAATCTTGGGACAGCTAGAAATCTGGATCGTACGATCGTCTAAAATCTCTGACCAATAGAAACTAGGGCTCGGAATCAAACTCGAATAATTCGAGTATTCGAATATTCAAAAAGCGAATAACTATGTGTAGTGATAACTCGAATATTCGAATATGCGAATATTCGAATACTCGAATAATCGAATTCTCGAATACACCAACATTATCAAACTCACAAGGTGCAAATATCTTTATATGGACTTTGTATACCTTTATAAAATAAATGATCCATATTTTACAAGCATTTCAACAAATACCCATATATTTACAGGCAAATTAAAATAATCATATTTACTCTCCTGCAAATGAATATAAAATTACGTGTCTGAGTTCTGGTGAATCTTGCACGGTGATACATTAAATGTGCCGACAAAGGCACTTTTTTATCCGTTGCGGCTAGTTGCCAAAAATTACATGAGATAACGATTTTTCTTCTTGGAAAACGGTGAACGGAAAACGAACACTCGAATATTTAACGAATATTCGAATATTCGTTAGATATTCGAGTAATTTTACTATTCGAATAAACCACTAAACGAATATTCGAATATTAGATTTTTAAAAATTCCGAGCCCTAATAAAAACACTTTTGTACCATCGTATAAACGGATGCATGGGACACGGGCTTAACGAGCATTATTTGAAATTCACACGTCCAGTACATTACACAAATGAAAGATCATTGTAATATACTTAATTGGCTAGACGAATAAAAAAAACAAAAGATTATTTTTCCTTCCCAAAAAAAATATTTACGGGCTTACTGGAGATTTTGTCGTTAAACAAACCAAATCGTGCACATGATAAGCAGACAAGGTTCAGTTGGCTAATTGAAATAATTCCTGATATGAAATTAGAAATATTCTATGTATTTTGTTTTAACGCACAAAAGGCTGCTGAATTTATGATCATCCCTTTACATACAAAGACTTACAATTAATGGCTGTGTTTGGTTGAAAATTTTATCGAAGTGTTCATACATGAATACTTTGTCAGTATAAACCTGCAAGTGTATACAGGGTGTCCCGAAAAATGTGGGCATGGGTTCATGCGATAGAGTGTGAAAGTATCATGATTAGTTCCTATAGAAAAAAACTTTTAAAGTAGGTACTTGATATAATTCGATTAATTTTTAATATGATAGATACTAGTTAAGAAAGTTGCCTGAAAGTTGGTATATGAACGCATGTCAACATTTTCCCGGACAGCCTGTATATACAGGGTGATTCAAAATTGGCGTCATTCCTCTGGCACTGTTATAGGAGTACAGAAAAAATTGTAAAATAAATTAATTGTTATTATAAATTATTGTTTATTATAAACACCCATATTCGAGGTTATGAGAACAGGTTGACATTTCGTCAACAAATCTTGTTGAATTTAACTTTTATCCTTGTCTATCTTATTGTCAGTCTGTATAATTCCATGGTTACCGGAGTTTTAAATAATTACGAAGCCACAGGTATTTGCGCATTCTTAATTAGGCAGATTAGCTTGAAAAACATTGCTGCCGTATTTCTGATATAGTTTTTGGCAAATTTCTCAGTTTTTAATAACAATTAATTTATTTTACAATTTTTTCTGTACTCCTATAACAGCGCCAGAGGAATGACGCCAATTTTGAATCAACGTGTATATAGTGTTATATATAACATTCGTCTCTGAAATAGTGTTCCTAAACCCCAAATATATTAAGAAAAATAATACTATCTACATATACATATATTTTAGAATTACCACTCATATTTCACAATCGGGCATGTGTAACGAGATGTTCTTTTAAACTTTGGAAATCACTGAAACCAGTCTCGCATGTATTACATGCGTAAGTGTTGTCGCCGTTGTGACTTTGCATATGAATAACAAAGTTTGTCTCGTGTCGAAATGCTTTTTCACATATGTCGCACACAAATGGCTTGGCTCTGTCGGTATGCGATCGCATATGTAATTGTAGTGCTCTATGTGTTGCAAATACGTCTGAGCACTTTCCACAATGCAACATATGTTTTTCTGAAAGTATTGAAAGGTACCTGTTAGATAGAATGCTCATAAACATGTAATTTTTGTTATAAAGTAGTTTAATCTTGGCAAAATATGTACTATACACGCCGATACCAAATTTTTAATTTCAAACATTCGGATTCCAAAACTTTCAAATTGAAAAGCGTCAGTTCATACATAATATAGCGTCCAAAAGCGCGACAACCAGCATCGCAAAGCGAAAACTCGTTGATCGCAAGAGCAAATACAATTTTCTTTCAGTATCAAGTTCAGGGGAATAAGCGACACTTATGGTAAGGGCGGTATGTTAAGTCGATCTTTTATGATGCGCCGGCCTCTCCACGTTCGCTGGAGGCAATTTTCGTTGCTCAGCCGATCGGTTGGGCGTCTGATGCACACGCATTTTAATGTTGTTGGGCGATGCGGTGGGAATTTGTCGGAGATGAGTGTAGGCATCATACGAACGATCGCCAAAGTTATTTTGTGAGCGAAAGTTCTCAACTTCTCGTGCTTTTTATATTATTTTTGTTTTAAATATATAGATAACGATCTCGATATATTGTACAGTGTTAATCGGGATAATTCAGACAGAATTATATTTGAACATGCCACAAAGGTTCGTAAAGAAAACAGCAAGATTTGTGATATGCAATTCAAATAATAATTGTGTTATTTTCAGGTATATTCGATATGGAAAATACCTAAGAGAAAATTACTGAAGCCGATTTCATAAATCGCTTTCGTTTCTCACAGGAAATTGTGCAAAATGTTTTGTTGACATTAACCACTCACCAAGAACAGAACAAATCACAAATCGAGGCCTTGATACAGGCGTAAGATTTAAGAAGTGAAACCATTTTAAGTCGAAAATAAAGCTGTCTGGTGTGGAAATAGCGTGCGTAGAATTACAGTCTTACAATATAATTCGTTTAAAACCTCCATTAATAAATTAAATATTCAAATGGATACACTAAGAATTGCACAAAGAAGGATCGAACGAGTATGCTGGAAATACGACTGCGAGATAGAAAAAGTAAGAAGTAAAAGTAATTGACACTGCTCAACAGGTGGCAAGACTGAAGGTGAAATGGGAGGGACATCTCATGAGAACGGAGGACAATAGATGGTCTAGGAAAGTGACCGAATGGCGACCAAGAGGATGCAGAAGACACCCCGGAAGACTAGGTGGAAGGCGATATCCAGAAAGTAGGGGGAGTGAAATGGAGGAGTAGAACAGCTGAGAGAACCGGATGAATGGAATGTCCATGGATTGTCCGAGACACGTTGAGAATGATGATGATAAATCAAATTGATCTTTGTACATTCACACATAAAGCAACAAGTATTTACGTAATGTTAATGAGAAAAACGCCACTTAGATGTGCGATCAAATACATTCTTGTGCAATTTCCGACTGCCGATAGGTCAGTTTTATGTGAGAATTATTGTACTATACAGTATCGCATTTTTTGCCATAAAGCTAGCTTGCCATAAGCATAAGATGACAAACCCAAAGTGTACTCTAATAAACGAATATGCATTACTAAAAACTGGAATACCATTTAAGACAAATCAGTAGAGTAAAAAACTTACTGTTGTGTGTATTGTTGATGTGCATAGCCAGTCGTTCCTTGCTAATATAGGACTTGCCACAAACAGAGCAGATGTGATTTTTGGGTCCATGCGATCTAAAATGATCGTTCAGCACGTCTTCAGATTGCAGCACTTTACTGCATACATTACACTGGTAGCCACCCTCTACCATCGTTACAGAAGGTCGATGAGGGTCATCTTGAATTGGCTGGTTTGGTACGCTTGTCGGTTCAAATAATTCAGTAGTGTGTGACATTTCGTGTTGCCGGAGAGTTTCTTTGGAAGTGTAAACTGCAAAGAATGTTTGTTCGAAGTTTGATTACTGTGCTTTTTTAATAAAAAAAAACATTTGCTCATTATTTTATCAATGTGCTCAACATTCACTGATAACCCAAACTAAAAATTATATAGGTACAGTATTCCCCAATATACGCTTATACAAGTTATTCTTCATAAAAAGTTCTAAAATCAGGGTCTAAAATCAAAAATGCATAGATGAGCAGGAAATTGTTTTTCGTTTGACCGCATCAAAAATATTCATAAGAAAACGATGACTCGTGTGTGGACTTTGTGGATGAAAACGAATATAAACTTAGCTCGATCTACCCTAAAAAGCATATATTTACATCTTTTGATTATTAAAAACGCGATTCTACTAAATGCAATAACAATTTTGTAATGTACATTCGATTTAAATATGAGATCTTTTTTGAAATAATTAGACATATTCTGTTTTACGTTAGGTACTTTTTCTGATGAGAATTTTTGATCCGCGAAAAACCTGCTTTATTTTTTAGCCTAATTCATGCTCATTATGGTGTATATGAATATACTTTTTGAATGATTAGAAAACCCTCCAAAACATTTAACCAGCTCTAGTATTAACATGTGGCAGCAGCGCAAACATCAAGTAAACAAATGATTGGCTGCTTCTGATCGATTTCGTACATTATATAACGCGGTTCGAACAAACTTGCGTTCAAACACAAAACCGTACAGTGGTTGATTGCAGTGATGCCAAATTGTTAGATAACAGATGATAAATTAGCTTTAACGAACAGAAACTGAATGTTCTATACAAAATCACTAATTTTGCATTCACAATGCCTTGTTCTTGACTGATTCAACTTCAGCAGTCACATAAGATTTGTAAACGACGAAAGCAATTTGATTTTGTTAACCGTTCCCCAGAGCATGGCTAAGTTCTTCCACCCTGATCTGATTTTTCATATTAAACGATATATTTCAATTCATAATTACGACTTGGAAAATATTTTTTATTTCTCCATTAGTTCTAAGAGAGCTGGATAGACAGCTTACCAATCTTTGAAATAAGAATTTATTGATCAGCATTTCTAAGCAGCGACCATAATTCAGTTGGAAAGCAAATAAAACCAAATCTTGGAAGCACATATCAGTAAACATTCGAACATTTGAACAAATATGCCTGCAATTATATCTAATTGAAACGAGAACTTACCTGTATCGCAGTATATACATTGATAAGATTTTTGGAGTTCAATATGGCGAATCGAGTGTTTTTCCAACAAAGCCTTAAAAGTAAAACACTTGCCACAAATGTTACAGTTATACGGCTTCTCGCCCGTATGAACTCTTATGTGAGCTACTAGTTGCTGAATTCGCTGAAATCGGATGCCACAACGTTCGCACGAAAACTTAAAATATTTTCTATGTTTGGCCTGCTTGTGATCCTGGATTTCTTGGCGACTGTTAAAAGTAGCCGTACAGATGTTACACGTAAAAGAGAAACCTAAATGAATAAAAACATTATTTAATATAAATAAATCTTAAAATAGTCAAAACTGAAGTTTTTATATGCACCGGGAAATGTTTTCTCAAGTATTACAAAGTCGCTTAGCAAATTATACAGGGTGAGATGTTTCGATATCTTGCGCCGGAATTATAGAAGCTGCAGCAGACGCAAATATCATTAAATGATCAATTAATTGCAGCTTCCAACATTCTACTTCAAGTCAATTTTATTGACAAGAAACTTATAATTCAAAGCATACATTAATGTCTTATTTTAATCGAATACATTCAATACATTAACTTCGAATTTTAACAACCTATTCAAAGGACTTCTTCTTACAACGCCTTCATTAAGATGATGCTTTTCAATTATAGTATTTATCCATAAACTGTGGTATTTACACCTTTTCGGAGATAATCTTTTTTTGCAATAAAAGTAGAAAGACATAATTATCAAAGATGTATAAATATTAATAAAATTTGCGATTATTTGTTACTATGGCTATGTTTTACGTTTCATGTGATGATTATTTCAAGATTGGATTGTGAGATGGTTCTTATTGAAAAAACAAGTTTTTGTCATACGCCAAAAAGTAACTTTTCAATTTAGTATGTTGTAGACAAAAATTCCATAAATGGATTGCGACGCACTTCCAGTGCGCCTTCTGCGCACTTAGCGGGTATTACGACCACATTTGAGATGCCTTGACGGCGCATTAAATTTGTAGTTACTGAAAATTGATGAACATTTAAAGACTTGCATGGACCAGACAAAGACTTGTATGGTTTGGTTCTTGTTTTTGCACATAGTCTTGCTCTCGCTTTTGATCTTGAAAGTTATGTCTTGGCCTTGCAAGTCTTGCTTTTAAATAATCTGGAAAATTGAACTAAATAAATTTAATAATAAAAGTTCAGCCCAGTAAAAAACAACCAATACAAAACTGCTATTTGAATTCCGATATTCTAATCAGTTTTCGAAAAGTCAAAAACAAAAATTATGTTGCTTATTTCAAAATGATTGATTTTTTTTGGCTCAAAAAAGTTGATTTCACTTAATGTTTGTTTTCTGAAGAAAATAATCATTTAACAGCATTCCTATGAATGGCAATTAGATGCTTTTTTTAAATCACACGTGTTCCAACTTTTCATACATACTCTATGATTTCTCCATCTATCTAAAAAGATACTCTGTAAATTTGTCTGCTTTTGAAACCATCGTTTGATACACAAAATACATTGCTACTATAGTGAACAATGAAGAGAAGTATTATATTTTTCATTTATACACCCAGGTTTTAAAACCAAACGCACATAGGACATAAATAATTTTCCTAGAACTTAGTTTTTATTGAAGAAAGCTGTCTGCCAGCTGTTTATTAAACTTAATGTGATACCGATAATTTAAGAAAAAAGTAATAGACCAATCAAATATTATCATATCATAATCATCGAAATTTGAAGTCTTGAGACTCTCCCAAGCCTCTTCAAAAGTCTTATTCTTGTTCTTAGCCTTGCTTTTTAACAGAACCAAAACCAGTCCCGCTAATCACTACCAGAAGAAAACTCAAAACTACAAATGTTTGCTTTAGATGCGCGTATTCGTACCTGCTGCAGCCTCCACTCAACGAACACTACTCACCCCGTATACGTATATAAAACACTACCTTTGGTTCCTTCTTTTGCAATTAATTTGTCTTCACATAATTGAAATTTTTGATCAGCCTGTATTTTCGTAATGTCACTTTTAATAGACTCGATTTCCTGCAAAATATCTGAGTCGTCGTTTAGAAGTGTTTCATCTGCCGCTTCATCCATATCGTCTTCATTAATCGTACGGTTGGCGTTCAGTTGATTATATTCAGACTCAACCTGAGTGTCTTCGGTCATAGACTCGTCATGACTTTGGCTGTTTTTCTGTTCCCGCAAACATATTTTCTTCAGAAGCCATTCGGAATTTTTACTTTTGTGCAGAAAGTGGTAGGTTTGGTACATTTGCCGAATACACCCACTGCACATTGTTGTAGGAAAGCGATCAGGCACGTCTAACTGAGAGAAAAACATTAATGATGTTACATAAACAACGAAAAACAATAGCGGAATTTCCCTGAAGGCGTTACTGGGGCTTACGAAAGAAATGTTTTCAAAAAATACACATTTGTTTCTCAAATATGTTATATTAGCGCTTGGACTTTGCAAATTAATCAATATTTGAAAGCAGTTCATGAATAATTTGGCAAAACTATCATTGGCACGTTACAGCGAATTCGTGATTAGTTTTCTAATGGTGCTTTTCATAACTCAAAATCTATAACAATGTCGACGAACACGCATGAAGTTTTGTAATTTCTGTAAAGTCTTAAAAACGCTAAACCACGACAGACCCAAAAAATGTTGGTATGATGTTAGCAAAGCAAAACAAGCAAACAAGACAGTGAAAGTGGCCACAACTGAACATCTGTTTACTGGAGACTCATCAGTACTCATCAGCAACGGTTAAGATCGTGTTTAGTTTGGTAGAAACAATCGCTAACACTAGGGATGCAAAGCTATTGGGGCGACATTTATATCGGTCTAACAACTTATTTTAGCAAATGTTGTTTAAACATCAGGCCGTGCATCAGATCGATTGTACTACATATAAAAAACAAGGCTTTCCGGTTTTGTACATRTGAACCTTGAACTTGCAAGCTTTACAACTTACAGAAATGCAAAATATTCGCGATGCATGTAAGAGATCATTGCTCTCAACGGATTAAAGCCACAAAATAACAAATTCCATTAGTAAAATGATGGTTTGTATACAGCGTGTCTGTTGTTCGAGCCAGACCAACGGTATCTCGGAAAGCATACGAGATACAAGGTCGCTTAAATTGGGGCAAACTTGAGCATTTTTCAGCTTTGTGAAATGCCGTTACAAGACCTGGAAAATTCTRACTACTTCTGAATATATTTGAAAAAAACCGACATATAGTATACAAAAAATTATTTTTTCAATTAGGCTCAGAAAAAAATAAAATCATCTTCAAATTTTGKTTTTTTYAACACCTTCAGAACTGGTCARAATTTTCCGAGCTTACAAAACAAAACAAAAAATACCAAAGCCCGGAAAACATTCCTAAATGTAAAACAAAAAATGTGCAACTTTGCCCCAAGTTAAGCCACCTCTTATCTCTTATGGTTTTAGAGATTCCAAGAGTGAGGCTGGTCAAGCAGGCACCCTGTATATTTTACTTGTTTCATAACAAGCAACATGTAAATTGATGTCAAATTTCTAACAAAGTTTATTGCGAATATTTCAGGTTTTTTCGAGAAATATTTTTCATTTGTACTCCATAAATACCTCTAAAGGAATGACGCCAATTTTGATCCAGCGTATTGTAAAATTGATTACATACAGGTTATTTTTATGTTGTTTAAGATATATTTAGTTTCATTTTAGATTTAAGTAAATAACTGTGGTAGTTTGATTGTGATTTACTCGTTTTTATAAGAAAATTTTCTTGTAATACGAATTGGGGACATGTGCAGTTTGTTGCATTAATTTTAATTTTAATGTAGTGGTTCTGCCATAAAAACCACTCGTTTCTGACGAAATTAAATTACGTAATAACATTTAGATTTTCTAAAGCTTTTCATGAGACAAATAAGTACATATACTTGAGTAACGGAGTCCAGTACATCATACAAATTAATAATCTGTACTGAAATTACCCAGATTTTTGAACAATTTCAAGCTACTTACATCCAAAGACGTATAACTAAGTATTATTTCCTTTAATTGTATGCCTTCCCAATTCACATCCTCAATTGAAAACAGTTCTGTATGCATAAGGCAAGTGCGGCAAATTAACCCGAAGGATTTGGATGTCAACACTTCGTATTTATCCATGTTATTAGCTCTTGCAGACTGTGAGTTCAGTAAACCTTTCCAAATGTTATATATTTGCTGTATACAGAAGTAATGCTGTAGATTAAAACTTGTTTAACCCAAAATTAAACAACTATAACCAAACCGCATACAAGCCACTTGACGTTTGCTACACACAAACCACAAAACACCTCTAACAAAAACTCCCAATCTGTCTGAATTTTCTCAATAAAACGCATATGGCAACATAGGAAAGCTTATTTTGAATAATTTAATTGCGTATTATTAAGTAAATTTGAAGCCGCGCTATGTAAAGTTACATAAAGAGTAAACATTATTTTCAATTCTGACTTAAAAAGATTGTTGATTGGCAACCAAACAAACATAAAACAATTTATTTAAATGTATATTACTTTAATTTATAGCAATATTCCACGACAGTTATTAAATATATATTGCAATATAATGCAATAATTTTTTTAATTTAAAACTGCACTTCAAAGTTTTGCTCTCACTTTCCACTTCAAAGAGTTTCAAATCTGGTCTGGAACACAGAAAATAAAGTAACCTCTGTGATCTGTGGAGTGGAAGATCAAATGAAGCGCGGATAACGCATAACCTCAACTACTACCGATCAAAATTAAAACAACCAGCGTACCGAGTGTGACGCAAACACGTGTACTAAAGAATAAATAAAATGGGTAGAAAGGCAAAATTTAACGAGGGTGAGATAGTGAAAAAAGGCCCTGGCAAGAAGGCGAAGAAGCAGAAGGATCCAGTTCTTCCAAAGAGTTTAAAAGGTAAATTTAACACGCATGCAGAGGCAACGTTGAGACTGCACTAAAGACAATTACTCATAATACATTATTATTAACAACATGAAATTGAGTAGCTCATAATAAAAGCGCTTGTGAGAAATTGCAATATACTGATGTCAGGAAACCTTACTCAACGCTTTTCAATTCTCCGAATATATTACCTGTCTACACAGTCTTAACCTGAAGTTATTTGATAAGTTTCTGACACACCTATAGTAATTTTCTGATCCAGCAAGATCGAAAGTTAATCACTCATCAAATATTGATGAGCGGTTGAACAGAAAAAAACTAAACCAAAGAAAAGTCACTATTTTCGAATAGTTTAAGGAATGTTGCACGGACCATTTAACTGCATTTGAGACACCGTTTATACTTAACGATCTCTTCACCCTATTTTTTTAAACATTCCAGACCTTTAATCATTTTTATAGCCATATTTATTTAATAAAATTAGTTTCAGTTTAATAAAATTAACTGACTTTAGAGCCCAATTGATACCTATTAAAAATAGATAACCAATTATAGTTATCATTCAAGTATTTTCTTTGCTTTAGCTCCTGAAGACTCTCTGAAGCAACTCAGCTCCAGGCAGAAAAAAAGGGTCAAGAAACGTGAAGAAAAGAAAGTTGAACTCTTGAAAAAGCGTCAAGAAAATAGAAAAAACAAAAAGAAAGAAAGCGATGAAAAGATTCCTCCACCTCCGCAACAAGATTCTAGCGAAGAAGACTTTAGTGAAGATGAAGAGGTAAATACAGTAGTCAGTTAAATCACAAGACTAAGTACAACTGTATTACGCATTGCTACATCTGTGTGGTGTATAGTAGTTAATAATTTTTAGTTTGGAAAACATATTCATAACGATATTATATAAAATTTTAAGAATAGCAGTGCTTTAACTCGAATTTACAGATGGCTTCAGAGGACGATAACGTGAAAGTAGACAATTTAAATGACTTGTCAGATTCAGAAGAAAACCACAGTGACGATTCTTACTCTGATGAAGATGACCTACTTCCAATTGAAAAGGAAAACATTAAACTCAAGAAGAAACAAGCTCTTGAGGAAAAGGAAGCAGAAGCAGAAATGCAGTTAAATATAGCCAATCAAGAATCCTTTAAATTTCCTACTAAAGAATCAGAGGAAGAGGTCAAATCTCTGCAGGTACGATGATTATTCGTTGGGCCATATATGTTTTATTATTTTGGATACAATTTCGTTTTCAGGATGTTCAGCAAAGAATCCGGGAAATAATCGCTGTTTTATCCGAATTCAGTAAGCTTCGTGATGCTGAACATTCCCGTAGTGAATACATCGATCTCCTAAAGGAAGATCTGTGCACTTATTACAGCTACAATGATTTTCTGATGGAAAAGTTGATGCAATTGTTCCCGCTGTCTGAGCTTTTGGAGTATCTTGAAGCCAGCGAAGTACAGCGTCCTTTGACCATTCGAACCAACAGTTTGAAAACGCGGCGCAGAGATCTGGCTCAGGCGTTAATTAATAGGGGTGTTAATTTAGATCCAATTGGGAAATGGAGCAAGGTTTGTGGTGGATTTTTAAAACTTCCTTTGTGTTTCAATTTATCAGTAACCACTGGATAATATTCCATTGATATTAATTTTTTTAGGTCGGCTTGGTGGTTTACTCATCTCAAGTTCCCGTGGGCGCTACTCCTGAATATTTGGGCGGTCACTATATTATTCAAGGAGCCTCGAGTTTCTTGCCAGTCATGGCTTTAGCTCCGCAAGAAAATGAGCGAATCCTTGACATGTCATCTGCACCAGGTGGTAAAGCTTCGCATATCGCAGCTCTGATGAAGAATACAGGTGTGCTATTCGCAAACGATTCCAACAAGTAAGTCATCAGTTATAAGAATTACAAATATAGTATGTAGTGGATAAGTTTTAATTGCCAGTTATCAACTACTTTTTTGGGAGAACTTTTGTAACTCAGATATTAGAGTAGATTAATGCTATAAGAAATCGGGAAAATAGCAAACGGGAATTTATATATGAAGTGATTCAATTATAAGTAAAGATCTTGAAGCCAATGGTATTATTCAAACTTGAATAACAATCAACAACAACCTTTACAAAAACTCTAGTTTTTGGGCACTATTACATGTTCGTAATTTTTTTGAACATTAATGTTTATTTTTTGATGATGAATTGCTTTTATTTGGTTTGTGGTTATCTCAAGCGATATACATATATTTCTAATGTTCAACAGAATAAACATAGTCTGAGTTTTCACACTTTTTTTCAGCACCCTGGAAAAGATTTATCCTGCATTCATAAAAACCAAAATTATTTTTTTGGTGTAAAATTTTCTGTTTAGGATCAAAAAATCAAATCAAACCAAAATATATGTAAAACTGAGCTTAATCATTTCAGTACCTTCGAAGTCTGTAATAAACTAAAAAACTAACATTCATTTGATTTATATTGTTATTAACTACAAAGAAATGATTTAAAGAACTGAAAATAAAATTGCAAACTTAAAACTCAATTCGTTCTATTACTTATATGTACTTAATAAATTATCGCATAACACATTTTTATACTTTTCTTTACTTTATAATACGACTATGTCCATGAATAAAGCCACTGTTTGATCATTTGTTGAACATGTACAGTATGAAATTCCATTCAAGAGCTTTTTTCTATTTTTTATTTAATTTTAGAGATCGTACTAAGGCAATAGTGGGCAATTTTCACCGGTTAGGCGTTGTCAACAGTGTAATCACTTGCATGGATGGCAGAAATATACCCAAGTTAATGAAAGTATTCTTTGATAGAGTGCTGTTAGATGCTCCTTGTACCGGTGAGTTTAATTTATGTACATGGTAGCTTCGAATAACGCAAAATTACATGAATGTCTGAGAGCGTAATGAACTGAATTAAAAGTATTTTTTGCCAAGACTAACTTTTGACCTAAAATAATAAAACTTTTATTGACTTGAAATTTAATGCAAAATATATCAGATCGACATGAATTTAATTATGAACCGAGTTTCAATAAAGGAACAACGTTTGCATTTATAGAAATTGCAATAATTTTAATCGGAAGGCAAATTGCCAGCTTCTCAAAGTTTGTAGAACTTTGGTGTAAAATGCGTTACAAGTTTTACTTTTATTTTTGTACATTTTTCTGTTAATTATGCCCTCCTTCAAATCATTCATCGGAATTCTAGATATTTTATTGGTTTAAGCTGAGGATAAATTTCTTATTTATGCTAATTTATTCTATTTAAAACATGTCTTTAATATTTAGGAACCGGAGTTGTGGCCAAAGACAATAGTGTCAAGACGAGTAAAAACGAAATTGATATCCAGAGGTGTTACAACCTACAAAGGCAGTTGTTGTTAGCTGCTATTGATTCCGTCAATGCAAAATCACCTACAGGAGGTAAGCTGTTTTTTATGTTGCCCCCAGAAGAGTTTAGCAATATTATAACTTGAGAATACTCTACATATTGTTGTCCATATTTTTATTTTAGGGTACATTGTCTACTCAACTTGCTCAGTTTTATTGGAAGAAAACGAATGGGTCATAGATTTCGCTTTGAAGAAGAGAAACGTTAAACTAGTAGATACCGGACTTGGATTCGGCACTGAAGGATTCACTAAATATCGGCATTTAAGGTATAACTGATTTCTTTTCATGCGGCGCACGGGTTGTCATTACTTCTTTTATCTATTTCAGGCTTCATCCAACGTTAAATTTAACGAGGAGATTCTATCCACATGAGCACAATATGGATGGATTTTTCGTAGCCAAGCTAAAGAAGTTCTCAAATGTTATTCCTACGAGTGACACTTCTGATATTGCAGAGGAAGTTGAAGAAGGTAAACATTTACATTTAAAAAATAAACGTTATTAGACGGAGCATAATAACAATTCTTTAATCCATTTTTTTTGATAATCCATATATGCGGTGTTTTAATTGATCGGAACTAGCGAGTTCTCTCTCTTCTATAGGCATATCGAGCTTTGTATAAGTATATAATTTTGGGAGAGCTAAGCTAAGGATAAGCAGAATAATGAAAATTATTTGAAAGTACTAAATGTTTTTTATATGCAAGTTTCAAATATAGTGCTGCAAAACGATTTAAAACCATTTTTGAACAACAAAACCATCAATACGAACTTTATTTCAACAAAATCAAGGCAAAACAAATAAACAAAATTGAGATACTTATAACAAAGCAATCTTTAGAATTGGATAGGTGAATACGTGGCGGACAAGAGTTGAATCAAGAATTTGTCAACAATGAGCATACCAAATCCGATAATCTATATTTGTTCACTTGGACCAAGGTTTTCCTTATATAAATATCATTATAAACCAGTTGATAACATCATAGCAAACGTTAATTATGTAACACACTAACAAATTTAAAAAATAAAAAAACGACAAAAAAGTGGATTTGAAACTAGAATAGACAGACTGATATGTGAAGCAAAACAATTCCTAAATAAAAATACAAATATATGTACCCTAACAGCAGATAAATGTAATAAAACAGCAATTATGCTTAAAAACGAATACCAAACAAAAATGTTAGCCTTACCAAATGACCATCAATACATATAAATAGGAAAAAAAGATTTAGCCAATAATATACAAACAAAACTAAGTAAAATAATAMATTTTYGGTTTAAACATAACTACATMAACTTCATAAAAACAACATACCATTACGACCAATCGTCAACAATATAGGTACACCAACGTACAACTTATGAAAGTTCCTATCCACAATTTTAASRAACGTCTTAGGACAGTCAGAATATATTATGGACTCTTGAATTTATTAAAACCCAAAAAATCACTGTTTAGTAKCGCTTGATGTAACATCATTATATGCCAATATCCCAATTGAATATACAATAGAGTGTATAAAAAACAAATGGAAGGAAATGGGACAACATTCAACAATTCCAGAAAATAATTTATTGAAGCGATAGAGCTATGCCTAAAATCTGCATATTTCAAGTTTGAAGAAAAATATTATTCACCAATATACGGTGTAGCAATGGGTTCGACCATATCAGCAACACTTGCAAACCTTGTCACGGAAAGCTTAGAAAAAAACATAATAACAAGTCTAACTTATAAACCGACTTTCTTTAAACGCTATGTGGACGATTGCTTAATGTGTTTACCCAAAGATAAAATTCAATATATGTACTAGATAAATTCTATACCCTAGATAAATTCAACAATTTTCACGACACTATAAAATTTACGATGGAAAGGTAGAAAAATCAATCARTAAATTTATCGGCATAAAATATCGCATTGTCGTAACTTTAACGAAAATATACTTTTCAGAAATTGAAGAGGCCCATGAAATCAGTCTCGATGAAACTGTAGGAGAAACGAAAAGCACAAAAGTGGAAAAGGCAAAGAAGAAAGCATCACTAAACGGTTTTAAGGCAAAAGGTGTAAATGGTCAACGTCAATTTAACAAAAAAATTGAAGATCAAGAGGAGCCAAGTAAAATATCTTGGGAGGATGTACCTAAGAAGACGAGTGTTAAATTGGGCAAAAAATTGAAGACCGTTTCCAAAAAGAAGAAAATTGGAAGCTTAAAATCAAACAAACCTGACAAGAAACATTTAAAACATAAAAATGTGAAGCTAGTTAAAAGACACAATAAATAAAACTAAAATATTTTTTCCTTGTTTTATTGAATTCCATTTTTTTTAGGTATTATGTAATAAAGAAGTTAAAAAAATCAATTATTATATAAAGAATTGAAGAAAAAAAAACTTGTATAAACATTTTCAAGAGCTACATCACAATCCTAAAAAATAATTGTACGTTAACAAATCTTTGGTACGATTTTGAGTAAAAGTTACACACCCTGCTTAATATTTAGTATCTTTTACTCGAATTACGTCACGATTGCCCAGCCATCGCCAAATTTAAACTTAATTTTGTTGGTTTAGTGACTAACTTCACCATGTTTTTCACATATCCTGTCCACAGATAACAGAGTAACCTCTGTGACAGAGTGGCCATTCGTACGGTAATTTGGTCGATTGTACGGTGTAGGGCCCTAACACGTTACCGTAAGCCAATTGTACGGTATTGTACACTTTTTTTGGTCACTGGGCCATGGCCTCATGAATGAATGAAATGAATCTAAGGACGGTACTACGGTTCAAATACGGTATTTTCAAATGGCTTGTACGGTAATCCGCGTTTGAGTGGTTGGCCACCCTGCTTTGTGACCTGTGATGTAATCCTGTTTTTGTTTTAAGGTTAGGACACAAAGGGCTTAGTTGTGAGGGTAGATACTTGTCTCTGGTGAGGGCATTCATGGCATTCAATTCAAATCTATTTAGAAATCAGGCTTCAAATAATGGTTATTAGTTGCGTTGCCTTTGGTTGTAGCGCTACGCAAAATCCATTTAAACCAATTTCCTTTCATAGGTAAACAAAGTTATTACCCATTTTGAAGAAAATTTCTTGTCGAAACGTCTTTGCAGTTTTGTGGGGTGTGCAAAATGATTATTATTTATAGGTTTCCCTTCAGTCGGCCCGAGGTTCTTAAGCATTGGATTGAGGCTGTTGGTAGAGAAAACTGGTATCCCTCAAAGTCGAGTAGGCTTTGTGGAGACCACTTTCTTCAAACCGATTATTATCAGATTCTAGATGAAAGTACACACAAACGATTAAAGCCTGGTGCGGTACCAAGTGTTTTTCCTGATCGATAACATTTGGGAAATAAATATTGTACAGTGTGGAACATTGCACACAGTTGAAAAATACAGAATAAAGATGAGTAGGTAGGAACATTAAAAATCAGTACACATTAAATATTTTTAGTGGAGATTTTATTTTTATTGCTTTGTAAAACAAAGGACACATTTTGAAAATGTTTTAATGCAGGTGATTAAATAAATGCCATTTAGCCAAAAAAAAATCATTAACTGTAGTATATTAGTAGACCTATTTCTTTTATTACGAGAATCAATAATAACTTATTAAGAAAGATAATTTTTACAATTTTCTCTAATAATTTAAGATATTTTAAGGAAGCTACAAAAACTACAATCTAAGACGGCATAAGAACCACAGTTAACAAATGTGTATATTATTCATTCATGTGTTCGCTCATTCACACTGAGCAATATGTGCATCAGGAAAGATGCCAGATTTGAAAATAATCCGTGAACAAGCAAAGGTAATCATTAAGAACCCAAATTCAAAACGCTGAAGCTTCGTAATTTTTGAGATTTCGGTAAACTGAATGAACTTCTATATGAATTTGAGACATTAATTTTTCCTGTAAAATAACCACTTTTTTGCTTATCATTTACAGACAAACTATACACAATCATAAAAAGTGCATGAAGCTATAAATTATCCTACGTTCCGTTTCCGTAAGAAGAACGAACTTTAAAGAAGCCTATCACGAAAATACTAAGTAACTAGTGAGGGTCCGGGTCACATTTATACTCAAAATCAAGGGTAAGAAAACTTTAGTTCGCAAATGAAACTTTACCTTGACTTGCCAATAATACCTAAAAATTAAATTATTCATGTTCTAAAAGCATTCATTGTTAAATTGAGACATTTTAAACAGTGACTTGGTGTAAGTGAATAAACAGTAGGAATTTTAGCAAAAGAAATAAACGGTATAGTAAGACATGAATACATGTATATTCTAAAGTTGCAAAGAAATATCAATTSGCGAGAAAAAACAATATTAGAACACTACGTAGTAAAAACGTTTCGCAAAAAAAGATCAATGTAGGGAAAGTACATAAATAAGATACATATATATAGTCAATGTAGGGAAAGTACATATAATAAGTACATAAATAAAATAAATACTTCAAGGCTGCAATAAAAWYCGTGTAAGTAGTACATTAAAATATTCAACAAATTTACCTAGCAGTAGAGAAAAAGTCACTTTCGTTACCAATAAGCYGCTATTTGAATGCCCGCCACATAAATTTAGCAAGAACCGCAAAACTCCGCAGAGCCTTTTTACAAAATGATATAAGCTGCACATCCGAGCAGCATAAATATTGCAAAATGGAAATAGCAACCCTGATTGCCATCCACTTTTGCGAAATAATTTGCCGTCCGCGTCCAGACGGCTAAATTTCCCTAAAAGTCAGACTTCTCAAAAAACTCAAAGCCATTTAGTGTCTTAGATTTAGAAGAAAAGCCGCAAGTCTGGTTATAATCTTGATCTGAACGACATATCGCCTGAAGGGCTCTGGGCGGCGAAAAACTGTTATAGTCAGACGGATTCTGACCGCTGAAATTTCCTATCACTAACGATTTGGAAAATATTTTTTGGAGTGCTAAATTTGAAAAAGTCTCGGAAAATCTAATTGAGCAGACCAGACAGTCTCTGGGTGCTATCTGTTATACCATCACAACGCAATAATCAAGTTTCACTTACCTTTAGGCATTTTGGTCTGGATTCTGAGCTATTATTTTAATTGATGATTTTAATTATGAGAGTTCATKTAAAATCCTATAGAAAACMTCATACTTTAAATTATSAAGTTTGAACTKAAATTAATTTTAATAATTTAAAAACCACACTCCAGAATCCAGAAACTCCCTCGTCGCACCCAGTCGAATTAATGTTACATGCAACAATATCATAAAATACAAGCCTATATGAGACGAAGAGTGATCTACATRCCAACCAGAGGCAAAGTAATGCCAAACTTACCGAAAGCCGCATCGTACCACCTGSAAAGAAAAATAGCAKTCTTTATTATAACAGAAAGAAGCCCAATTATGTAAAATCAGTAAACGAAGRAATGAAAAGGAAATAGAGAAAGCCATTGAATTTTAGCTAAGCTAAGGGTTTCGTAGGTAGATATKCTTCTTACCACCTTTCCCCAAGCTGTCCCCATCCTCCATTTTTTATCAATTATCCAATCTCCAAAAAGCACAACTACACTTGAACACACAAACAAGATGCACTCGAAATTAAAAACGTTCATCCTATAGTTATTAACTGGATGATTAATCTGCCTCACTTATTTTAATTGCCAGCACCAAAATCTTCTAACAAGACACGAAGAAAGGACGACTTATTTCATTCGTTGCTCGTATCAAACTGAATATTTAGCCAGCTTTTCGACAAAACTCATGCGATATTGAGGTTTTTTCACATTGCGAACGTCCCGAGCTACAGAACTACCATAATGATATAATCGTTTGCTCGATCGTCTCTTCGATTAGTCATTGCTTTCCTTGGCTGTTCGGTAATAAGTTTTTTTTTGTTGACTATGTTGTAGAAAATTTCAGTTTATACTGAATCAATTTCAAAGACCCGTTTTGCATTCTAACTTGTTTGGATTAACATAAACAAAACAGATTTCTTAGCCAAAGATAAACAAATCCTATCATGGATTTTTTATGCTAAATTGAATGGTAGTTCTCAGCTCAGTCTTTTGCTCGATTTGTACGAAACTTTCAGCCTGTGTAGAGACTGTCCACATAGTAGATCCACATTCAAACCATGCAATGAGCGACAGAATACTTGACTTAATTTTCACACGAGCTCTCGGATTAGCCTTTTGCTCAATTTTCCTAAAATTTCGAGTTGGTAGAACTTGATATGATATGCTAAGGCGTCCTAAAAGGCAGATCCACATTCAAACCGGGTCATGATTTGTGAATGAGTTTCTCTTCTCGCATCATTAAAAGCGACAGAATAGTTATATGTTTTTAACAGCTTTCGCATGACTAGCATTATCTAATCATTTATACCTAGTGTTTCAGTCAACACATCATTTCTGCGAAAGTTTCTCTTTGCTTTCATAGTGCCGGTATTAGTCATTATAGGAGTTTGGATCTTGCTCAACTTCAGCAAGTTGTAGATCAGAATTTATCGTTTGATTAATTTGATTAATTATAGCAAAAACCTTGCATTCAAATTTATTGTTGGGACAGGTACATGGGTGTCGGAGCATTCTAGAATTCACCATTGTCAGGAATCAGCCCTCCACCCCTGTCGAGTCAAATGTTTTTTAAAAATTCCGTTAGTGGGTCAGTAAACCGAGAAATCGGGTCAGAAAAAGGGTTCATTCATAAGACCCATATGCGCACAGTGTTCAGGTTCTTGTGTAATTACCACACCCTTTTTGGCGATTTTTTATAGGCAGTTGTCGGAGTGTTTTGGTCAGCTTATTAAAGTAGTTAGCAATTTTGGCTTTATTTCGAACCTGGTTGTGGAGTTAAGACGCTCAGTTTTATTGGATACAACATGGGCTTTGGAAAAAAGGCAAAACACCCTTTGAATAAATCGTAGTTTTATTAAAATCTGACCTTACATGCGCCTTTCAATAGCCACATATTGGCTGTCTTAGCAAGCAGTTTTTAATTAGAATTAGATTTAATTATGATAGGTAGTACAGTGTAAATAAATTAAATTAATTTCCAAAAATAAAAACGTTTTATACAGTATGGTGGAAATGGAATAATTTCTTCATCAGATTTATTTAATGTAGTATTATTAAGCTTTTAATGATTGAAGAGCAAATATATGTATAAGCAACCAAATAGCTAAACTGAGCTTTGCTGTAAATATTTTATTTCTTAAAAAATCCTTTTGTCAATTTTGTTAGTGAAAATTGGAAGAAATTCCACTAAGGAAGTAAAACCATCCAAATTTAATATATTGGTAAAACTCT